AGCCCAGTGACATAAGGAGTAAGAAGACATAGAATATATATATGCAGAGTAATTCCGAATGATCCATGTGGTAAGAGGTAAGTAATTGAGGATGGTGGTATATCAAAAGTAAGAATACTTACATCCTTAGAATGCGCGACCGCTTCCTCCTTAGTTAAAACAGCTCCAATTAATTTAAAGAAAGTCACGTGTTTTAAGCTATGACAAGCAGAGCAGACTTCTTTATATACTTGATATCCACGCCTCATAGAGGCATGGTCATGAGTATCGAAGGGCCCGAGATGTGGCCAAGGAAACGAAGGTGGCTTAAGGACAAGATCAGAAGCCAGTACAGGTGTGGCAAGGGTTCCGACTCCTCCCACAATAAGTCCTGCAACGGCTAGCCATTTAGCAGCACGAGGATGGGCTAAAGAAAGGGCAGAAAATGTGGCCTGAAGGGGATAAACAAGAGACTTTTTAGCGATAATAAATATTCATTTTTGACTAGGAAGAGTAACATGAATCAGACAAAATAAATTCAGTCAGAAATAAAATATAGGTGCGAACTTTTGAAGTATTGATCCGAGCGGCATTGGAAGTGAGCCTTATTGAAGAGGATGAGAGAAGTACCATAATGCCGAAACAGCCCTAATGTGAAGCGCAACAAAACAAGGTCGCTAGAGCTATACTTAGCTAAATATTTTTAACTTCATGAACATCAGTTTACGTAAATATTTTTTATTGTTGTTATTTTTACGCGCGCTGACTGCGAATACTGACATGCGCTCAGCTGTCGGGCTTCGTTTAGTCACGCGGTTCTTTGCGTCTCCTGCCTCTATTACGAGCATAAGACAATTTCGTATTGACAGTACCTAACATATATTTTTTTATGAGTAGGATCTCTCTTTAATGAGGGTTTTGAGTGGGAAGATTCAAAATCTGCTGACAAAATGTGAGTAATTGCTATTATTTCTATTAGCGCCAGAGTCCATGTGACCTTCATTGGCAGAGATGGCAAAGCATTTAAGGTTGTTGGAACGGTTGGTGATAATCTGATGTATCTAGCACGCAAATGCAATATTGATCTTGAGGGTGCCTGCGAAGCCTCTTTGGCTTGTTCAACCTGCCATGTTTATGTCGATAAAGATTTTTTTCATCTTTTGCAAAGTCCTACAGAAGGCGAAGATGATATGCTTGATTTGGCTCCTTTCCTTAAAGACACTTCACGCTTAAGTATATGAATTTAAGTAATTCGTATCTTTAGGCTGTCAGATTGTACTAAGCAGGAAACTTGATGGAATTCACATAACACTTCCAAAAGCAACACGTAACTTTTATGTGGATGGCCATGTCCCAAAGCCTCACTAGACTCATCAAAATTTTTTGTAAATTATTTGACTCATGCCAATAAAGCTTATGTCAAACTATTTGTCCTACTTATGTCAGTTCATTTTCAATGTATTTTATCGCTATTTTATTGG